GACAAAATTTATTTTTCTTGGCAATTTTGTTCTACTAAGAGCCACAGCAAATTTAGCTCTGACGGCTGTAATTCTCAGTGCTCACTTCTGTCACTCTCGTTAAGAGGAAAAAAAGGAAGGAAACACAGCGTATTCACCATCCTTTCTCTTACTATTTACACCATATAGTTCAATGCCATAGCAGTGTGTTTCTCAGAGTGTGCTTGCAAAGCTTTGGATCACCATACACATAAAATTCTCTTGTGATCTCTGGTGGTTTGATTGAGAATGGCTCCCATAAGACTCATATATTTGAGTACTTGGTTTCCAGTTGTGGAACTGTTTAATAAATATTAGGAAGTTCAGCCTTGTTGGAAAAGACATCTGTATGGGGTGGATATCTTTCTGTGTGTGTCCCTCCGGCTCTTTCTGTTTCTCTCTATCACTCTGTGTACGTGTTTCTCTGTGTGTCTGTCTGTGTGTCTGTATGCCCCTCTCTCTCTCTCTCTCTCTCTCCTCTTCCTTGTGATTGTGGGTCAGATGTAAGCTCTCAGCTACTGCTCCAGCACCTGTCTACTGCCATGATCCTTGCCATGATGGCCATGGACTCATCCTCTGGAATTCTAAGCCCCAATAAGCTTCTTCTATAAATTAGTCATAACGCTTTGTCACAACGGTAGAAAAGTAACTAAAACATAATTAAAACCACACATCAATTTAAGACAGATGGGGAACACTCATAGCGCTGCATTGAATTCATGACAGTGAACTGGACACTGCACGGGGTATACAATCTCCCTGCTACATAATAAATAGGATATTCTCTTAAAACTGAATTTTAAAACAGGGTCCCAAAATTACTGCATATGCAGCTGCCTGCCCTCAAGGAACAGGAACTTGGAGTAAAGGATAAGACATGGAGAGGAGAAAGAGCTAAGACAAACTTATTCTGTTCTCTAGCCTACAGGCTACTCCAACCAGCAAAATGGATAAGTCTTTTTAAAAGATTATTTTATAATTAACTGTATGTTGGGTGAGGGTGGGATGTATGAGCACAGGATTGTATTTGCCCACAAAGTCCAGAAAGGGGCATAGAACCCATGGAGCTGCAGTTGTAGGCAACTGTGAACCACACAAATTAGGTTCTTGGAACCAAGCATGGGTCCTCTGAAGAGCAGCGAGGGTTCTCACCAGTGAGCCATATTCCCAGCAAAACTATATAAAGCTTACTCTTCTTGGGTAAGTGACCTCAGAGGCTATTACTATTCTCCAACAACAAACTTCCATGACCATTCATTTGATGCACATAGACACTTTTTCTCTATTTTGATAATAATAATAATAATAATGGTTAAGGTTGCCTCAATACCTCTACAACTGTGTTGACACATAGCAACAAACCAAAAAGATAGTTGTAATGTTAGAATGCCACACACCTTTAGTTCCTACACCTTGCATTTTCATTCTGTAACTCCTGGAATAGTCTAAACCAGATCCTGGCAACATTTGGGGAAAGGGGTTCTTTTCTTCTCCCAGTGCCAGAGATCAGTTCAGGCTAGGTAGGCAAGTACTCTACTTCTGACCTGTCTTCCCAAACATACCTTTTAAGAAGTAATGCCATAATTTTTTTGGTTCTGTTGCTCTCCTTGTGGAGCTCCTGTCCTCTCCAGGTCTTTCTATCTCCCCCTTCTTTCATAAGATTCCCTACACTCTGCCCAAAGTTTGGCTATGAGTCTCAGCATCTGCTTTGATACCCTGCAGGGTAGAGCCTTTCAGAGATCCTCTGTGGTAGGCTCCTGTCCTGTTTTCTGTTTTCTCCCTCTTCCGATATCCATCCCCTTTGGATATCTGAATGAGGATTGAGCATCTTAACCAGGTTCCTCCTTCTTGATTAGATTCTTTAGATGTATAGATTTTAGTATGATTATCCTATATTATATGTCTAATATCCATTTATCTGAGACTGATAATTGAACCAAGGACCACTCATGGAGATAACCTAGAACCGCTGCACAGATGTAGCCTATGGCAGCTCAGTGTCCAAGTGGGTTCCCTAATAAGGGGAACAGGGTCTGTCTCTGACATGAACTCAGTGGCTGGCTCTTTGATCACCTTCTTCTGGGGGAGCAGCCTACCAAGCCACAGAGGAAGACAAAGGGGCCACTCCTGATGAGACCTGATAGACTAGGGTCTGATGAAAGGGGAGGAGGACCTCCTCTATCAGTGGACTGGGAGAGGGAAATGGGAGGAGAAGAGTGAGAAAGGTTGGGATTGGGAGGGGATGAGTAAGGGGGCTTCAGCTGGGATACAAAGTGAATAAACTGTAATTAATAAAAATAAATAAATAAATGGAAAAAAAGAAGTAATGCCATAAACGGTACAGAACCAACAGAAGGTAGCAGAGGCTAGTGTGAAAGTGAGCTGTTCATCTCGCCCCTGTATCCCAGCCACCAGTTTCCCCTTCAAAGCTAAGCTCTGTTACACTTCAATGAACATTCTTCCAAAGATATTCTATGCATTTATAAATATATACGAAAACATTTTCACATAAATATGTACTCCTGATGTCTCAATGTTTTAACATTATTAGTGATGTTAATAATAATCTTACGTATTTGTTTATGGGAGCCAGCCAGTATTTATACAGAAATCCTTATACAAAGCAAATAGCCTACTCATGTAAATCTATTTCATTCTTCATTTTGTACAAAATGTCCTGAAAGCATAGGGTTTATGCATATCTGAATTTGTAAAGTAGAAACTGAAGCAAATGCAGATATCACTACATGTTCTCCATATAGACTGTAAGTTTATAAGTTAAAAAAAAAAAGAAAGAAATTAGTTATGTCCTAGTTCTCCATTGCTGTGATCAAATACTGACTAAAACCAACTTAAAGCTGGAAAGGATTTATCACATCTTACATTTCCAGGCAGCAATTCATCTCTGAGAGAAATTGGGGAAGGAACCTGGAAGCAGGAGTTAGAGCAGACACCAGAGAGGAGCGCTGTTTACTGGCTTGCTCTCCATGATTCGCCCTTTCAAAGAACCTCCTTTCTTAAACAACCTAGGACCACCTGCCTACAGGTAGCACCACCTACAGTGGTCTGGGCCTTCCCACATCAATTATTAATCAAGGAAATGCCCCCCCCCAGACTTGTCTATAGGACTGTCTGATAGAATCAATTCCTCATAAGAGGTTCCCTCTCCTAGATGACTCCAGCCTGTATGGCTGAAAGAAACACAAACCAGCACAAGCAGCTAGTAACTATTAGGAATATCCTGTTAGAGAATGTTGTCATCATAACACATTTCAATTGCCTCAGATAAATTAACAGTTCTTTATTATTTTGGTTAAACCTCCTTCCAAAAGGATTTTGAAATGACCGAATTCCTTCTACTTTGAAGTAGTAACAAATGAAATAATGAAATGAGTAAAAAGTACATTTTACTGCTGGAAAACCAACCTCCTTCATTGCCTTGAATGTTTAGAAGTTTGAAAGCACCCATAGCAGCACCCCGAAAACATGAGGCTACTGGACAACAAAGACAACAGAAGAGTTCTCTAAAGAGAGTATTGTGTGCTCAGTGATTTCTGGCTATACATCAGCAGAGGTCATGTGTACTGAAGCAGTGGAGAAAAGGGGAGGACAAAGGGCAAGGACAATGGCCTCTTATTGCCACTGATGACAGGCAGTGTGCTCATCTGTCTGCAATTAAACAAGTCGCTTACACAACACATGAGCAGTCAATCACCTTATCAGGTCTGAGAGAGTATATAACAGTTTTATTGCAAACTTAGCCTGTCAATCATTTCCACACCAAAACTGTTAACACTCTTGGACTCCTTAAGGGCTCCTCACTATACCCAGGTGTCCATGTTAGAAACCAGGACATTCACATCCTTACTGAAGCTGCACCCTGAATCAAAGGGGGGAGGATACTTTTCCTCCTCTGTTTCATCTTTTCTGTTAGTAAGTGTAACTTTGCTTTCTACCTGTACCCTGCTCCAAATCTTTATGGCTAATGGTTAAACATGTTAGGTGCACCAGCCATACCTCCCTTGCTCTCTCTATCCCAGGTTCCAGGAATGATCCCAATTAAAAGGTAATTGTCAGAAAACTGCAACGCAGTTACTGGTTAAAATGGAAACAGAAATCATGTTCTCTCAGATGCACAGGTCTAGGACACTTGGTGACCTCTGGACTAAGACATTCACAGTCCACGTTTCAGAACTGGTGATTTTTCAAAACGAATGAACCACCCTGTCACCCACCTGCTGGACTCTGGAATACATTCTCACAAAACATGCTGTACACTTTCTCTTTCAGCACCAAACAAGATGAACAGCTGTGTGCCATTGATTTTCCAATGTCTGGCTTGTTGCACAGAAAAAAAAAATTTTTTTTCTTCTGCTATGGGTCTGTTATCAGGTCTCTCAAACAAGAGCAGAACCAGACCCTGAGTGGTTGCTTTACTTCCCGTTCAGTCACTTACCAGCAGTGCTGGGCCTGTCTCTGAAATGGCTCATGTATTTTCAACATCTCTGCATCCTTATCGCCACTAACCTGGATAATGGCTCCACTTCCCTAGTTAAAGTCATCCTAACATTTTATGTTGATTGTCTCCCAAACCTTCCTGCCTCTAGTTTGCTTTCTTTTTGCCCAGTCTCTGCGATAAAGCTCGTAGTCTTTGTAAAGTGACTAAGCGAGCAAGCTGGGCTCCCCTGAGGCCACCCAATGGTTCCCCATTATCTTGAGGGTATTGGAAGTCCTTCACTGCGTTCACGTCCCATTCACCGCCAACCACATCCGGGGTATTCTTCTCCCTGCCTCACCTCCATATTTTAAATGCACTGAAGAGCTTCGAAGCCCCTGAATTCACCTCCTGGAGTTCTTTTCAGGCTGTTCTCGCTGCGGGCTGCTCTCCACTCCCCTGCTGTCTAGAATGAAATCTGGATCAACGTCTCCTCTCTGTGTCCTCTACCACACACTGTTGCATGATGACCTGCTTACACACTCACTCTATCCTGCCCACCTGCCGACATCGCCGTGCCCTCCTTGCCTACCTGGGCAGTGCGCAAGCACTCACTTGCCAGTGCTTTCTGTCCTGCAAAGCAAAGGTACACTATGGAAGAAAAGAAAGTGTACTGTGGCCACGTAAGTGTGTGCAAATATTGTGAGTCTCCAGAGGTGATAAGCTGTTGCCAATTCCTCTAAACATCTGGCCAGGAGGAGGAGATCACAGGGACACAGTTTTGTGTGATTCTTCTTAGGAATTTTCAATAAAGAGCACTCCTTGCCTAAACTTTTTTTTCCTTTTTTTTTTTTTAAGTTATCATGTTAAGATTTTTAATCTTAATTTTTAGGTGTTATTTTAAAATGGAAAACAATGATTTTCATTTCAATCTTTAAATGTTCTAAATCAACAGGAACATCTTGGGCTTTTACATTTTTTTTTCTTTACTTGTGGGCTTATGTTTTGCTGTTTCTATTCCTTCCACCCTGTCCATTTTTCTGTTTGTTTCTGTTCAGAGGTTGGGGTTAAGCCCAGAGCTTTGTGCATGCTGGGCTTTAACTCTATCCCTAGGATGCTGGGGGGCCCTGAGATTTTCCATTAAAGTTTGTTCAAATAAGAGGACCAAAATTCAAATATCCAGAAAGCACAGAAAAGCTGAGGGTAGAGGCTTATTTCTGTAATCCAAGCACTGAAGGGTAGAAAATAGAGTAAATATATATATATATTTATATATATATATATATTTGTCTACAGGGGTAACCCTAGAACTCACTGGCCAGCAAGTCTAGCTAATCAGCGAGCTCCAGGTTCATGAAAGAACCTGTCTCAAAAAAGAAAGTGGAGCATGATAGAGGAAGACACCTGACATTGACCTTCTACACACTACACACACACACACACACACACACACACACACACACACACACACTAGTATATACCTGTGCACACACAAACATGTACATACATATATACCCCACACAAAAATAAATAAATACAGTATCTTGAAAACCTTTAAGATTTTAATGCCAAATTTCCCACCCTCAGAATAACTACTACTTCTGCTCAAACTCTGTGAGGAAAAAGATGCTTTGTGAGAGCCAGGGCGGTCCAGGAAGTGAAGCCTCAGCAGTCGGTCAGTCAGTAAGAGAGCAAGAATGCTGTGACTAACAGAGGTTGGCAGCCGTGAAGTATTTGCCGGGCCCGAGTTTCCCGACTTCTGTTTGTTGTTGTTGCTGTGGTGTTCAAAGCCCTGGAGTTGCTCTGTGAAGGTTGACTGTACACGGGGCCCCTCAGGAAGGAAAGAGGGCACTGCTGCCACACAGCATGTCCCTCTAAGAGTCACCCAGCAGCAAGCTACGGGTTCCATTTTCACTGGGCTTTGGCTCTCTAAGATGCTCTGACTGTGTTTGATTTCTTGTGACAACATAAGATGAGAAGGACTCCATTCAAGTCATAAGGAGGAGACTTCGACTGGAAAGGGCAGCTACAAAAGCTCATAAAAGTAACAGAAGGTTTTATGTTGGCAGTCTGACGCAGGCTTGATGTGTAGGTACTCTGACCTAGTAGTCATATTTGGGCGTTTGGACTCGGGATCCAGTGTAGACTCGGGTTCATATGTAGATTCATGTTAGCAACTCAACGCTCTGTCACTTATCTGCAGAACTCACTGCTAATTCCAAACTGAGACTGGTGGAATATATACTTTCATTTTTCATATTCTTGGACAAGAACTCAAACCATAACGCAAACCACAAGCAGCTAACCCCACGTACCGCCATACACTGCCTTCCCATGACGTTTCTAGGCCATAACCCTGACCAGCCCACTACAACTTACAACATCTCGTTATGAACAATATTCCCAAATCATCCTTATCTGCCATTATTCTGCCTCTCATTTGCATCCAACATAGGTTTGGGTAAGTACAATGTGTGATTTCCTTCGACAAATTATTGTTTCAAAAATGTTCCTAGGGGCTGGACAGATGGCTCTGTGAATAAAGTGATTGCTGTAGAAACATGAGGATCTAAGTTCAGATTCCTTAGAACCCATGAAAAGCTCACCATAGTCCAAAGCTCACCAGCCAGCAAGCTTAGAATTCAGTAGTAGGCAAGAGGAAGTTTGATTCAAAATGCAAATTGGAAAACAACCTGAGTTATCCTCTGATCTCCAAATACCCACAGTGGCACAAACACAAACACACACACACACACACACACACACACACACAAATATTCAGAGAACCTTTACTTGAGAGAACCTCCACCTCAGGAATGATGGTTGGGGGCTAGAAAGATGGATAGAACAGTGGTTATGAGCACTTGTTCTTCCAGAGGACCTGGGGTCAATTCCTGGCACCCACGTGGTAGCTCACAATCCTCTGTAAACCAGTTCCGAATGATCAGTCTCCCTCTTCTAATCTCCACGAGTACCAGGTACCCACATGGTACACCTATATTCAGCCACACAAGCAAAACACTCCTATACATAAAATAAATAAATAAATATTTTTAAAAATGAAAGTTTAACAGCCGTGTTTTAGAGTTTTCAAATTAATCTCTTGAATATTATCTCACTACCTGACTCCTGTGAAGACCCTCAGGGATCAAGCATGGAAAGCGCCCAGCAAAATCCCTGCAACACAGGACGTCCTCTGAGCCATTCCTGAGACCCGCAGACAAGAGGGTTGTGGCCATTAAGAATTGCAAATTAACTTTTCTGGGAACATGAATACATATGTTTTCAGGAGCCAACCTCAAGTTCTGGTTCAGATATAACCAGAAAGGATCTAAATAGACAGTTTCCCAAACAGCCATAAGCACACAAAAGATGTTCAAAATCATTAGGCTTTAGGAAAATATAAATCAAAACCAAGAGGTTGTTTGTGCATACACTATGATGGCTATTGTCAGAAAGTCAGAAGATACAAAAGCTGAAAAAAAAAAAAGTGGAACTATCATAGATTGGTGGTAGGAATGTAAAATGGGACAGTAGCTCTAGGAAAGAAGTCTACAGTTTCTCTAAAAGCTAAGCTCAGATTTACTGTATCTCCCAGAAATTCCACTCCTAAGAGTCTACCCAAGAGAAATGAAAACAAATCCACTCAAAATCTTGTACACAAATTTTCATAAAACATCATTGTATGATCCAAAATTTAGAAACAACGAGGTGTCCAACAAACGACTAATGAAAAAGTGATCATTATATCCACATGCAATGAAAAGTGTTTAATTAAACAAAAAGAGGGAGTTCTTGCATGTGCTGTAGCATGGATAACCTTGAACATATCTGGATGAGATGAGCTTGTCACAAAGAACCGTCAGCCCCATGTAACCATTTATACATAATGCCAGAAGGGAAACTTACAGTGACAGGTAGCAGATCAGTGGTTGTTGAGTAGTATAGATGCAAGAGAAGGAGGTGATTACCAGTACTAGCGGGATTCCTTTGGGAGACAATGTGTGTTTCGATAGTGACGGTGGGAAATGAGTTCTCAACTCTTGGACTAAAAGAAAAAGCAGTCAAATTAGATAATTTAAGTGAATTATAGATATACTCCATCTCAATACAACTGTTCATTTCTTTTCTTTAAAAATGGAAAGGTCTGAAGGGCTGGATGGTTTAGTGGTTAGAGTCCTTGCTGTTTAAGTATAAAAGCTTGAGTTCAGATCTCCAGGACCCACACTGAAAAGTCAAATGTGGCTGCTCAGGCCTGTAACAACAGTAGTGGGGGTGGCGAATGCAGGGTTTGAGTGCAGAGACAGGCAGGTAGAACCTAGAGGCTAGTTGGCCAGTCTAGCCAAAGATGCAAGAAATAAGTGAAGAAATAAGTGCGGACTTCTGACCTCACCCTCTGGTCTCTGTGTGAGCAAGAACACCTGTGCACAAGTGCACAGACCCGTACTCCAAACACACACACATTCTTCTTAAAAATAAAAAGGAATGGAACACAGGCAGAAAGAAAGCCTCCCCTCAATAAATAAATAAACAAACAAACAAACAAACATATTCAAATAAATAACAGCCCATGCAGAGACCACAGATCACAGATGTGCTTTGTTCAATCTATGCAATTTCAGAAAAAATAATTTGAACCAACTATTAAAATGTGAAAACTAGAAGATTTCACTTTCAAAAATAATCAGTACCATTTGCATTTTCTTTAACAAGGACATACAAGAGGGAAAAGAAATCTGGCAACAGAAGGCTGGGGCAGAGGGTCCATAGCAAGACAGAGCTGGCATAAATCAGTTGGCTGCCGTGCTAGCCACACTTGGGTTCCACTCCGTTTGTGATTTCAAGTCCCTGATTTGTTGCTTTCAACAGGTTCTCGGTGGAATCTCAGTCCTGAGTCACAGGCACAGCTCTTAGAAAGAGGTGGTCAATAAAGGGTGGGCTGTTTGTTGCATAGGTAAGGTGACAGAGGTGACTGAGGAGTCCAAAGAACACACAGCCAGCCGTAATACACGGGTTCTTTCTGCTGAATTCTTTTCTTCGGTTCTGGGCACCTTTTGCGTGCCGGCCAAGTATGCTATCACAGCACTTCCACCCCAGACCTCATCTGTTATCTCTGCTGCTAGAATTTCCAAAGTAATCACTGGTATATTTTGATTCTTATTTAGTCCCAGCAAAGAGAAGGTAACACGATGTGAATTCTGAAGACAGCACGTGGCTTTTCAGACATTATGATCTAATCATGAGCAAAACATTCTGCCTTCCTCCAAACTTCGCTGTGGCTTAAATGGGCAGCTTGAGCTAGCCTCTCCCAAGCCAGATGTCAACATCTGCCAACTGTAAGGAGGGTGAAGAGAATGCCAGACTTAAACACACTAAGCAATGAGCTTTCTCATGGTCTCTTTACACATCCGCCATGAAAAGCCCTTAATTCTCACCGAGATCTTTGCTTCCTTGGTCAGATGTTTGCTTAAGTAAAAAGGGGCCATTCATAATAAATTACTATTTCATAACTGGCCGAGTAAGGTAAGCACTTTGGTGAACTATAGGCCTTCAATGACCTAAGCTTTGAGT